CTTTTGCGCAGCCAATGCTCTACCATTGAGCTACGAGGCTCACAGTGCGCTGTAAATTTAATCACACTTGGATCGATTTTACCCGCCCAACTTACTGCTTCTATGGAATTCACCAGTACAGAACAGGAAGCTGACACTCCAGATAGGATTTCCTAAGCCATCAGCTAGAATCCACCAGAATGACTATTAGGCTCACTTAATTGTGAATTGTTCTGTTAAATGCATTTGTAGCACAAGTTTTATGCATTTTAGGGTCTTTATGGGATCGACTATGACTGTTTTCTCAGCCTCCCCAGCGTTATTAACGCCAACGGGGTTACGTCTGTGATAAACCTCAGCCTAAATCCGAAGGAAATTGAGAAGCTGCAACACAGCGCCAAGACACTCCACGAGATATTCACGAATCTCAAGTGGTAAACGAGCGTCCGTCCGTCCTTCGTCTGCACGGTAGTGTAGTTTAAGCCTGTTGGCCCTGTTTTCCCACCCCCTCCCCTATAAAACCCCACCTCTGCTTATGACGAACTCCGTGAATCTATCTATATATCTACACCGGCGTTCGGAAGTCTTGTTTTTCTCTGCTCTGCATGCCTTTATAAAAATCTTCACAAATACATAGCACCTACATCCGTCAGACGGCCTTGCCTTATTGACTATCCTAACCCGACAGTTTGACCGTCGCATACGACCATGTCCAATGACTGTCTCATGGCGGGCTAGTTGCAGGATGGTGACCTGCATGTGAATCACCTTATGTTGCAGCAGCCTTGTACTGAATCTTTCTCACTCGCCCACGTGCCGTGAAAAGCCAGAGCCGGGGCCACCGCAGGGGGGAGGGAGTTCGGGCAGGGTGACTAACAATGTTGAGCAGTCCGTCTACGCGTGCCACACACAATCTGGTTTGTTAAGCCATTTATCGGCACTGCGAGGAAGATGACTAGGGTATCGCATTCCTGGCAGCAGCACCTATGAATTCCCATTAAGCAGTGACGATAGAGCGTGATTCTTCACTCTGGAGACCTAGTTGCCCAGGTAGTCGGCAGGCTTCTAAACCACGACTTTTAGTGCCTTCGGAGTGCGTTAGAATGATTGTAGGGAGGAATGCGCCGAGTTACCGTGGGAGGAGGATTGTTGCAGCTGTCCCAATGTCCTCACATGCCCGCCAGGCTTGACCTAGGCCGCAGGTCAAGCCTGGACGCAGGGGAAAAACAAGACACTAGAGCAGCCCCTAGGACCTAGGGGCTACTCTAGTCTCTCCTTTTTCCCCTGCGTCCAAACGGCCGCGTCAGGCTTGTTAACAAACAGACGCCCCAACAAAGCACGGCCACCCTAGACTTAACCTCAGCATAGTCAAGGCCACATCTACAGGCAGCGCTTACCAAGTGCGCATCGGCCAGCCTGCCTTCTCACCCATAGATATTTATGTTCATGTTCCCCTGACTGGCCCTTTGATCTGCCCAATCAGACACCCCACACGCATTCCGGTGTTCTGACACGAACAATGGAAAACGCTTACGCAGTCACCGCTTCTGACAAGATCCCAGACGGACGCTTTTATCACTCGCAAGCAAACAGTCTATTCACGGCAACTAGCCTTGTGTACAAATAAATTAGCCCTAATATTTGACTGCCTTCTCCTATCAGACGGAATACTTATAGTACAGTGTTTATAGTAGATCACACATCCTAGACCGCTACACGATCCCCGTGAATCGGCCTGTCTCGTCCATCACGAGGCAGTCAGTCAGCTTGGCTTGGATGGCAGTAGCTAACACGACGTGAATGAATCAAGCGCATATGCATACCTTCTAAACCACCGTTTTAGTTCGTTGTGATAATTTCAGAGTGCATTGGAGTGATTATAGTGGGGAATGCACCAGAGTGCACGGGGAGGGTGGACTCTCCAGAATCGGCCTGTCTCCTCCCTCTCTCATGTGCCAGTCAGTCAGCCGTGTGGGGTTTAACAAGGACGTAAGTGGCTGGCGCGGCGTAAACACAGCGCCGCCTAGGCGTGTTACCACACTCCCCCTTGTAGCAGTCCGGAAGTGGTGTACTCGGATCACTGCAATCATCAGGCCGAATCCCAGGTTGTGGGTAAAAGGCAAGAAGTCGCCTGCGAGAGGGATTTATTGTATACAGAACCCCCAGTTGCAGTCCTTGGCGACAGTGACCACTAGCGAAGCTAGGGCTAGTGTTGACTGCGTCCAGCCAGACTTGAGAGGGCATGAGATAGTGGTGGCAACTGCCTAAGAAAGATTGCGGAGCAAGTGCAAGGGATTTTCAATTGGTGTGTGTGTGTGTCATTACTCGGAGGGTGTCGTGTCTGGTGGCGTAGGCTCTATCGGCAGAGGCTGGGAGAAAAGGACGTGCTCAAGTGGCTTGTGGGCAGCCGCGACAACCTGGACGAACGTGTGTGTCCCCGAGTGAAAGTCGGTCAATTCTCTGAAAGCGCTGACTGAAGTACTGGATGACCTTGAGACAGCCGGCCGTCAACATGGACGCCGGCCAAAGCAAATTTGGCCATCGGCTATAACTCTCCCCCAGACAACGAACAAAGTGAGGGGTTGACAGTGTGGTCAAACGATTTGAAGTCAGCAAGTCGGAACAGCCGCGTGCAAAGACGGATGACGCTGGGGGCCGCGGGCATTGAAGAACGACGGGGCGGGGGACAGGCGTTGTGGTCGTTCGCCGCACCCTCCCATATACGAAAGTAGTTATAGGCAAGCGGGGACTCTGCGCGGTCGGTTTAACGGGTACCGTGTCAGGCTTTTGTAAAGGATAGCTTTCTCACTTGTAAGAATACCGTTCAGGCCTTTACTACTGATGAGATTTCTTACCTTGCAGACAGTATTGGCAACTAGTGTTTAACACAGAAAATCCCTT